GATTCTGTCTTCTAACGATTCTAATGGATTCACAAGTTTAAAAATCTATGTTTTAAAGCAGCGGTTCTTAATCCTGTTCCTCGCGTTCCACTGCTCTGCATCAACGAGGCTGTTTACAATACAACCGGAGCACATGTCGCTGAGGTGAGGGGCGGGACGCGTTTAGACGCGCACTAGAAGCGGTTTAGCCAATCACAACACACTCGGCTAGCTAACCAATCAAAGCCCATGGCCTATTTCTGAGGGAGGGGCTTCATAAAAGAAGGAAACTGATCAGCGCGTTTCTCAGAGAAGGGACAGAGCGGTGTGGAATAAAGGTAAATTATGTGAAAAATAATGCGTTTTTAAACAAACGAAGCATTAACACATGTTAGACTGCACCCCATAAACACAGTCAAGCCTAGAAAATAAACCACTGAACCACCCCTTTAAGAAAAAGAAAGAAAGAAAGAGAATACAGCTTATATAGCTTGATATTTAGTATGATCCCACTTGAGTTTCATGAACAATATTTTCTGGTTCAGCATCTTCTATTACTAACTGTTATATGAAGAAAAAATATCAGTTTGATTAGTTGTAGCCTACTCCTAGAGTCCCTGTCCAGAGATCCACCTCAGTCCCAAACGTGTGTACTTGAAGAGACTGTATTTACCTCGAAGGGCTTCTATTTTGTTGGGGTCGAGTTGCTGGATGCCTTTTGCAGGGTTTCCTGTGACGGCACTGCAGGACAGTGTGCTGATGGGGAAGAGAGCGTGAAGCACCGGCACTACAGCCTTCTGGGGCTCCACCTCCTTAAACACCACCTTGTACACAGACAGCGGGATCCACACCTTCCTCAAGGGGCTTCCGATCATTACTGAGGAAAAAAGAGAATTTACTGATCCATGTCATACAACACTGGTGCTTCCACTAAAAATATTGAAGTAAAATTTGAAAAACTTGTCACGATCTAGAAAATCTACTGAAAATGAAACGCATTTATTCATACCTATTTCGATACATTAAATAAAAAAAATGTGGGAGGCATACATTATTATTTCATAAAGTTCTGACCTATATTTGTATACCCAAATCAAGTCAGTGTGTATAGTGTAATTTACCAGAAGCAGTTTATTTGACAGGATTTTTTTTTTTTTTTTTTTACCTTTTCACAACATGGCAAGATAAGATGGCCTTCAGGTGGAGTTGGAAATTTAATTACAAACTCCAAGCACATGAATGACTGAGCAAAGACATATTTACAATTGGGAAACTAAGAGTATTTCACAAAGCGTTTTAGCACTAAAACTAGCTCCTAAATCTGTGAAATGTTAGGAGTAGTGAAGAGGACTCTTAAGTCACTAAGACCAAGCCACAAACTAGGCCTATCCTCCCTGCTGAAAAAACAATAGAAACCATCACAGAAATTGTAATGGTTTCCACTATAAATACCATTACAAACATTACAAACCATCAACTTTTAACCATTAAAACCATTAAAAAATGGTTTTCTGTAGTGTGCTTTAGGACATATTCCATTAGGATTTAGTGGTTTTAAAAAGCCACCAATAGAAGGCGACCAATTACCAATAGAGACCAACAGGGTCCATTACGGTTTCCATTAAAACCAATACAATTCCCATTAAAACCATTACAAATTCTGTGATGTTTCTATTGTTTTTTTCAGCAGGGCTAAAATGGCTGTTGCTGGCAATTTGCCTCGGAACATAAACATTTTAGAAACACGCTGCATTTATTTGCACACAGATGTTTTCCCACGCATCTTTTTTGGTTTTGGAGGTTATCTCAACTCCAAATTTTCCTTCGATTATATCCTTGATTTCATTAACAAGTTGGGCAAGAAGTAACAGCTGTTCTAGTGTCCAGTTTGGTTTTCTTTTACGTTTGCATGTCTTACTATCAGTCATGATTATTCTATGTTAATTAAAAGGCTGTTTATATGCATATTCACTATTTGTTTTTGAGAAGCATACATGTAAGAGGCTGACAATTAGCTGAACATATACTTGTTTAATTAGTGACACTTGGCCTGCATTTTAAAATCTTTAATTGAATATGGCAACATAATATTGCGCTCTACAATATTTCTATGAATAAATCTCTAGACAGAGACTATCAGCCAATCACTGTGGGCATAGTTAGTAAGCACTCTGACATCATCCATAGCAACGAGGTCAGCCCCGCCCCCTTACTCTTAGCTTAAGACTTCTCTTTATTCCTTAGTAAAAGTTTGTCTCAGCAGCTTTGTGATTGGGTTTTAAGAGAAAACTCTTAGCTAAAAACTTTTACTGCTATTTAGGAGAACTCTTAGGGGTAAAATAAAATGTTTTGTGAACATGGGCCCAGGTTTCCAAATGGTATATTAAAAATAAATCATAAAATAATTTAGTCCTCTTAAACCTCATCCCAGCACATTTGTTGAGTGCAATGCCTACATCTCAAAATCTCAACAACTGATGGACAAAACCAAGTTCTTCCCTATATTTCTTCTTTTTTTAATCAATTTCACTTGCATGTTCATCACAATATGGAAGAAAAGATCTGTCAATACTTCAGTTTCATCACAACTTTAACATTTTTACCTGATGGTCTTATCAGTAAAGGTAAATCAAAACTTTCATTGATAATTGAATTTTTTTTTTTAACTCTACTTCTTTGATTACATTTCTAAGAACTTGAAAATGCAGCCATGAAACTACACTTCTAATTGATTATTCCTTCATCTCAGACAATCTTATTTACATCCTACCTTTGCTGTCAACCTGAACTTCGAGTGTGGCCTCTTTACTCTTGGGCATCTTCTCCAGTTCATTTTCATCCTCCCCGTCCACCTGAGTAAAGGATTTCTTTCTTTTCTGCTGACGCTTTGAGCCTGTGTTAGCCGGAGAGCCGTCCTTCATTACCTGGGACGGCTGGGGGTCATCTGTGGATGCATTGCAGACCTCTTCTCCATTGGGCTTTGACATGAGTGAAGCAGGATCAGGAGTTTGAGACTGGCGCTGGGATCCGTTACCGCGCCCCCTGTGACCCCGTCCTCTGCCCCTGCCTCTGCCTCGTCCGCCGCCGGGAGGTTTGCCCGGCTGAGGGCTGCTGTTGTCAGCCTGCTGAAGATCCGCCCTCTCCAGCCCTCGTTTCCAGGGAGGGATCCAGCGTGGGTTTCTCTGGACTGGTGGATCAAGTTTCTGGGCCAAAGACCAGGACAGCTGCCTTTCTTCAACACGCAGAGACGCCCTTCTCTGAGAGATATGGGATACATTATCACTAGGACTGTCAAAATTGTGAGATTGATTTTATTTATTTTTTTCCAGTTTAACGCATTAAAAATACATAATTAACGCAGTATACATTTTTTTTTGCTCTTCAATGAACAAAAAGACACAGAATAAGGTCAACATACCGTTTTTTGGTGAGTTACCTCATAAATACAGTCTTAAATAAGTTCATAAATGACTGTAAAGAGTTGGGAGAAAATCGGATGTGTGTCAGATCTGAGTCATGTGCGTCACGATTTAAAGAGACAGCGCTGCTTTTAAAGTGACAACTGCTCAGGTCATTGATGTAAACCAAAAACAAAAGAAAAAGAGATATCGTTCGCTGATCTTTGCTGATTACCTTTTGTTGCTTGAATAGAGATTAATCTATAATCAATTTATAGTTTATGCATATACAATTTATAGCTTGTGGAGATTGTTTTAAGTTTACTTAAATGTTAAAGTTGTTATTTTTCAAAGACTATTTAAAAAAAAAAAAAAAGCTTTCAATTATACTGTAACATTGAATGGCTATAAATGAGGACAAAATGCATTTAAAGGGGTCATATGATGCGATTTCAAGTTTTCCTTTCTCTTTCTCTTGTTACAAGCTGTTCGTGAATAGATAAGATCTGTAAAGTTGCAATGACTAAAATCTCAAACCCAAAGAGATATTCTTTATAAAAGTTAAGAGTCAACCACGCCT